CGGGGGCCCCGTCCGGCGGGCGCTGGCGTGGCTGGGGGAGCTCCTCTGAGCTGCGGTTTCGTGGTGGGCCAGGCAGGGTGTTCTGTGGGGCGGGGGGGGAGCGGAGCTGGGACCTACGGAGCCACGGCCCTGGGCTGTAAAGGCAAGTAAGGGCCAGCCGGGCCCTGGGTGCTGCTTCTCCCCCCCTCCAAGCTTTCTTTACCTTCTGGGGGGGCTGAGGTTTCCCTGAAACCTTGTCTGCTCTTTGCCAGCAGGAGCAATCTGTCCTGCCCTTGGTCACCCTGGAGAGCAAGGATGCCAGTGGGATGCCGCTGCAGGTGCCGAAGGAGATCTGGCTCTTGGTGGACCACTTGTTCAAGCATGCCTGCCACCAGGTGAGGGAGAGGGCCTCTGCTGTGCCGGGAAGCTCTGGAGAGCTTGCTGACCTGATCCACCAGTAGCAGCTGGAGATCAACCCCAGTTTGGTATTCATAGGGCAGGGCTTTTCCCCTGTGCTTGGGGCACTGGCTGGGGGTACCAGCTTTCACCCCGCTGCCACTGTGTGCCTCCACCTTTGTGAGGAGGGTGACTTTGTCCATCCCTGGCAGGAGGACCTGTTCCAGACTCCAGGCATGCAAGAAGAGTTGGAGCACATCATCGACTGCCTGGACACCAGTATCCCCGAGACAATCCGTATCCTTGCTGCGCCTGACTTGCCCGGGAGGCCGCTGGAGCTCAGCTCTGCTGGGAGAGCTCCCTCTCGGAGAGCGTGTCTGTGGCCTTTGGCTGGCAGGGTCCCTACTGGGGGGTTGGCTCCCCTCTGTCCCCCCCAGAGATAACCTTGAAGCTGAACGTGTGCTGGCTAAAGCAGCCATGGGGCCAGAGCTCTGGAAGCTTCTGCAAGGCTGCATCTGCAAGGGCTGAGGAGGGTGGATGCTGGGGAGCATGGAAAGGGGGCTAATGGAGCAGAGGACTTCTGTGGGGCTAGAGGGCGGGCAAATGCAGTTCAGGGTGGGCGGAACAGCTTTTTCCATGGATGGGGGACAACAGAGGAAGAGGAGGAGGGCTGTGGTGTCAGGGGGTGATTAGGGTAGAGAACTTGCAAGACCTGCAAGGAGGAAGCAGACGAAGCGCCAGGGAAGCAGGAGAGGTGGGGAGCAGACGGGGGGGGGAGGTGGTCCCTCTGTGCAGCGTGCCCCTTGACTCCCACCCCTCCAGCGGGCAGCAACCACTCTGTGGCTGAAGCACTCCTCATCTTCCTGGAGGCTCTGCCAGAGCCGGTGATCTGCTACGAGCTCTATCAGCGGTGCCTCGACTGGTCGCACAACAGCCGGCTCTGCCGACAGGTACGGTGCTGCCTGCGTCTCGGGGCGGGTCTCCCTGCTGCCGCGAGCTCCACCTTGGTCCTGGCGCTTGCTGGGTCCCGCTCCCATCCCGTGAGCTGGCGGGGGGCTTTGGGAGCAGGCGCTCGGAGCTTCTTTGCAGTGGGCAGGAGGATGATCTTGGTGCTCTGGCCGTTGCTTTCCTGCCCCAAGGTTGGCACTGCTGTGTCTTGCAGCAGTCCTGGTGGCTTCCAAAGAGACCCCAAGTGTGCCCTGTGTCACCCTGAGCACATGGGGAGTAGCAGCCCCGGGGAGTGGAAGAGCCTCCGCTGGTCTCGAGGGCTTAAGTGCCTGCTCAGCGCTGCAGTTCCTGTGCTTCCCTCAAGCACCGAGTGGCTCTTAAAAACAGCTGGTGGGGCAGCAAGCAGGGCCAAGCGCATCCTTGGGCAGAGGAAGAAGTTTTGGGCCACGTTTTCAGTCCTGGCGTCAGGAAACCTCTTGTCCTTGGTCCTCATGCCGCTGCTGTGCAGCCGAGGGGGTGGGAGCTGGGATCCGACTGGAAAGAGCTGCCCTAGGGCAGCGCTGGGTTTTGCCTGGGGACACAGTTATCCTAGGGGCAGCGTCACCAGGAGCCAAAGCCCCTGAGGGCCGTCAGCGCCAGGCTACAGCTGGCACCTTGCTGCTTTCTGTCCGGGCCTGCGGCTCACGCAGCGGCCTCGGGGGCAGCGGAAGGGGAAGGCTGCCTGCCCGGAGCCCGGGGTGCCACAGCGTGCCCGGGCTGCAGCGGTGTGAGCTGGGAGAGCTTCCTTGCTCTGTTTTCTTTGCAGGTGATTTCCCAGCTGCCTCGTTGCCATCGCAGCGTGTTTAGGTACCTAATGTTGTTCCTCCGAGAGCTGCTTAAATACTCCGAAGACAACAATGTCAGCATCTCCATGATCAGTAAGTCTGTCGTTCCTCTGCCCCGCTCCTGCTGCCCCCGCAGAAACACAGCCCTCTCCGGCGCCTTTCACGGGCTCCGTTCCTGACCAGTAACTCATTTTCCCTACCTCCGCAGCCGCCTTGTTCTCCAGCCTCCTCCTGCGCCCTCCACCCAATCTGGTGGCAAAGCAGACTCCGCAGGACCGCCAGCGTGCCATCAGCTTCCTCTACAGCTTCCTGTCTGCCGGGGATGAGGAGTGACTCCTGCCCGTGTGCCAAAGCCGAGGCCCCTGCCCCCAGCCTTGCGCTGAGGCCGGGCCTCTGACAGCTCCAGGAGGGTAAAAGGCTCTAAGCTACTCCAAGTGCCGTGTTCACAGGTGGAAGGGACGTGTTCCCCTCTCCTTCCCGCTGCTCTACCCTACGCTGCAGAGGACCTGCACGCTCATTGCACTGCCATCCATGACAGGAGCCTCCTGCTTTCTCCCTGGGAGCTGGGTGGATCTGTTGATACCCAAGCGCTGTGCCAGCAGCCCCATCGTCCCACGGCAGTGTCACCAGTTCCCCGAGTCACGCTTCTCTCTCCTTTTCACCCCTCTCTCCCCGGAGCCGTTGCGGGGAAGGGTGGAGACTGCCTGTGCTCGCAGAGGGCTGTGGCGTGGCGGGCGGGCGCTCAGCCTGCGTCGTGTCCCAGTGGCTGCGTACGGACTGCGCTGGCGAGAGCCCCGCTCTGCCCCAGGCCGGCGTCGGGCACGTGCCACCCTCTGCCACGCCGCAGACCGAGCCGACCCTCCTGCCCCATCACTGCGCTACAAAAGCTGGACCGTGGCTGCCCCAGGAGGTTATCTGGACATTTGGCCTCTTCCCTTCACTGGGGCGTTACCCCTCCCCTCCCTCCCGGGGTGTAAGGCTCCAGCACGCAGCTCTGTGCACTCCCAGCCCAGCGCCTGGGCCTTCCTCTCCTCTCTCCCTTCCCCTGTGCCCCAGCTTCCTCCTGGGACGCGGGGGACCGGGTGCTTGAGGGGCCCAGGTCGGGTAGGGCAGCGAGCTGCGCTCGGCTTCTCCAGGGCTGGGAGAGGTGGCAGTGGATGCTGTCCTTCCCCTCCGCCCCGAGGTGCTGCCGGAGGGTACGGGCTGGGGGGAAAGGAGCCCAAAATGCACCTCGAGGCCCAGAGGAGCGGCTGGGGGCGCGGGGGGGTGTTGTGCTGGGTGAGGGGCTGTAGTGTTGGGGTTGCTGGGTGCGAGGGGGAGGCCTGTCCCACTGAAACACTAAGCAGGGTCCTGCCTGCAGGGTCTTGGCTGGGGAGGCCGCTGCAGGAGATGTGGGGTGGGGGGAGCCTGCAGTCCCGGAGCCCCCGCCGGCGCCATGGGTGTCTGTGTGGCCCTGTGGTCCCCGTGCACTGGCTGAGCTGCTGGGGGCTCCCCTACCTTCTGCCTCTTTATTTTCTTTTTTTTTTTTCCTTTAAAATTTTTAAATTACATAATTTATTGGGAAACTGTTCGTTCCGAATAAACCTCCGTTGTGCAAGGTTCTGCGGCGCTGCGCTGGGTGCTCGCGCTGAGCCTGCCGTCCCTCACGTAGCTCCGTGCCGCGCAGCCTGGGGGTGGCTGCTGCTGGGCCACGGCATCCCGTGATGCAGAGCTGCGGCTTG